TTAGAATGATTTCTGAAGATCATGTGACACTTTATACTGGAGTAATGATGATGGAAATTCAGCGCTGCAACACAGAAATAAATTATATTTTAAAGGATATTAAAATAGAAACCATTATTTTATATTCTAATAACATTTTGTAAGATTAGTGTTTTTTTCTGTATTTTTGATCAAATAAATGCAGCCTTGATGAGCAGAAGACACTTCTTTAAAACACATTACAGTCTCACTGACCCCAAACTTTTGAATGATAGCGTATATATATATATATAAACATCAAAAATTCTCCAAAAACACATCATATTGAGTGGAGTATAAAACACTTGTTTTGGTGTAAATCTCATATAAACATGTCCAAGTTATGTTTCATCAAAAAGAAAATGAAGAAAATTATAGGACAATTAAGATTTTTTTTTACATTGTGCATTGTTTAAATTATAATAGTCTGCAAAACAGTAAAAAAAAAAAGTTTTATAATAAATATATAAATTAAAGACTATACAACAAATGCTGGCATTATGTGTAAATACTTTACAATTATTTTTATATTTTATTTATTTATTATTATTATTATTAATAATTATTAATTATTGATGGAAGCAATCAAAAACAAAAGCAATGCTATGCAAGTACTAAAACATTTTTTTTTAAATTATATAATAAATAAAAAGAAAACAGATAGAATAGAAAAAGAATAGAGCAAGCTAAACTAATTGTAAAATAAATAAAACGAAAACAAATAGAATACAAAAAGAATATATAGAATTATACAATAATTACCACTGTGCATAAACACTATGCAATTTTTTTCACATCACAGTCATGAGAACTAGTGCACATACACATGTATATACACCCCCCAAAAAAATACAGTAAAATATATATATTTAATCTTCGTAAATTATAGATAGACTACACAGCACAAATTACCATAATGCAGAAATACTTTACAATTTAAATAATATATTTTAACATTACAGTAATGTAAAACATATGTGTTTTAAACATGAAAACAATGCAAATAATCTTAAAACCAATTCGTTTCTCGATTTTGGGATTTCGCGAGCATGGTTTAAAGTTCCGCAAGTGCCCGGATGTTGTGGCGCAGTGACGTCACTCGCAAGGCTTTTAGAATTTTGCCTTCTCCACGTCACCGGCAGGACAACTGGCTCAAATATACTTGGGTCTGCGGCGCGTGGAGCCGTTAGAAGCCGGACTATGCAAACTAAAGCGCAAATCCTACTTCTATCTCACGTTCGCGTCTGAAACGCCGTCTTTTCACGCGTAGGGAGGCATGAAGCGCAAAAGCGAGCGACGGAGCGAGTCAAGGAAGAGACTCTGCGCGTCTCTGAGGGACCAGACGGAGTCCAAGAGCGATATTTACCTTCGTATCACAGGTAAACAAACTACAGACGCGACCAGAGCGATCTTAAAGCGTTAAACCGCCATTAAGTACTGTCATGCGAGTCCTGTCGGGTTTGTTTGGCGGTTTATAGCACTGGATGGTCGCTTTAACATGAAACATGAGATCACAACACAAACTAAGTGCTGTTTATGTCGAGATTAGCGCTGATTATACGTCAGGATGACTCTAAAATGGCATTATTAGCTACTAATGGTGTCTGTGTGGAGACGGAACGGTTTTCTTTGTTCTGTTCGCTGGATGTAAATCACCGAAAATGGATCAAAGCGTTCAGTCAGAGCAAAATGAGATTCTATTGGCTGATCGGCGCGTCTCTCCAAGCAACGGCTGCCTGCTGTTCGATTTAAATCCTGGAGGGAGGGGCTTAGTGTGATTGACGTGTCAGTGTTGCGACCGTCAGCCAATCAGGCGGCGGGAAACGGTTTAACGTCGCGTTGGATTTAAACTGCGCTGAATTTAAATTCTGGAGGGAGGGGCTTAGTGTGATTGACGGGTCAGTGTTGCGACCGTCAGCCAATCAGGCGACGGGAAACGGTTTAACGTCGCGTTGGATTTAAACTGCGCTGAACTTTATTCAGACTTCAGGCTAGAGAAAGATCGCTCGTGTCCTGTGGCGTTATTTTATTTACACAATTTAAACGGAGGCATAGTTCTAATTAATTTTTTTTTAAATGCAGGTTTTATCGTATAAAAAGAATAAAATTGTTATTTTACGTTTTGTTTTGTAAAAATACAAATCATAAATTGTCGACGGAAATTAGACCGTTTTGCTTGAATGTGTGTTGACTTTAGATTAGCGTTAAGTCTTTTTATTAGTAAGATAACTTAAACCAAGATTAAATAATGCTCCGGAACAACGTTACAATAGAAACGTGCGATCTGTCAAACTGCATCGAGTTCATTAAAGGTGAGTGTCATATTTCTGTTTTCTTCTTAATAGTGCACATATTTTGTTGTTGACGGTTTGTCTGAGAACTCACTTCCGGTACGCGGATTCAAATCTGTTGATTCAAATACATTGACTGCGTGAAATCTGCCGGAAGTGCATTCATTATGAGGCATTACAGTATAGTTTTGTGCCTTGTGTTTTTCAGATCAGCTGTATTTTGCTATTCTTCATCAGAAGGTGAAGAGCACTTCTGACAGGCACTGTTTCTGCATCGATGAAGAGCTTTCCTATGAGAAGTAAGAGTGTAATTGTGCATTACTAATGAAATACTGGTCATGATTGGGCACATTAATACACTAAACATTATAAAGTGTTATATTTGATACATGTAAGGCCTCTAAATGGTCAACATCAATCATCATTGGATTGCATTGCAATCTGGTCTTGCTAAGACATATTATTGGCGATATAGAGTGGCGTTTATATCATTTTATGCTGCTGTACTGATAAAGATCTCATAGATTTACATTATGAGCAAACAGAATTTCATCGTATAAATATCAGCATTTGCACAAAATTGCATATTTTTGCTCCGTTTGAGTCTCTGAATAAAACTGAGCCTCTATATTCTCACTGTATCAAATTATATGAGCTATAAACGCCTGATGGATTAAATATTATAAAACACATTTTGTCTATAGGTTCAGTATTTAGTGTTTTCTTCCCCATAGGACAGTCTGTTAAATATGCATATGGTTTTTATGGATCGTACCAGACCTTTATCAATGACCTCTTCGGTTTTTATGTTTAAACAGCTTCTATGCGGACTTTGGCCCGCTCAATCTGGCCATGTTTTATCGCTTCTGTTGCAAACTCAACAAAAAGCTGAAGGTAATGACGCTTCATTACTCTGACTGTTCTAATAAATACAGTCTTTGCATGCATGCAAGCATTGTATGTTATGTTTTTATTTTTTTATTTAAATGTTTGGTTTTGTATGCCAGATGTGTTGTTTTTAAATTTGTGCTCTTCTAACTCAACAGTCTTGTGCTCTTGCAAAGAAGACAATTGTGTTTTATACCTGTGGTGACAGAAAGAAACAAGCCAATGCTGCGTATTTGATCGGCTCTTATGCTGTAAGTTTTCCAGTCCAGCTTTTTTTAGCCTAAAGGCTTCGCTTTCATGAAAGTGCAGCCTGATGGAGTGCTCAAATATATTTCCAATGGTTTTGCATGTATATGCATGAGCTTTGCATCTAGTTCTTCCTTCTTGTTTGTCCTCTTTTGTAGGTAATGCATCTACAGAAAACACCAGAAGAAGCGTACAGCCTTCTGGTCTCTCAAAATGCGTCTTATCTTCCTTTTCGGTAATTGAAATTTATCCCCTACGTGCATTTTATGAGCCTTTTAAATCGGAAGCAATCTCATTTTCCGTTTCTAGATTTCTGTTCATCTCCGACTTAATTTTTCATTGCATTCAACAGAGATGCATCTTTTGGAGCTTGCATGTACAATCTGAATATCCTTGACTGTCTGCTTGCCGTTCACAAGGTAATCCAGAGTCTCTGTGAAGCTTCATGTGGCGTGTTTGCCGGTCCACTATTCCTGCTGATCGCATGTTGTGTGTTTCAGGCGCTGCAGTTCGGCTGGCTGGATTTCTCAAAGTTTAATGTGGAGGAATATGAACATTATGAGGTGAGTTTTCCATGATATATACCTTTTTCTTGGCTTAAAAATGGACGCGGCCATTTGTAAATTTTATGGGTCTAGCTTCCCATTTTTAGCTGTACAAAACCACTCGTTTTGCTGCTTGATATTGAAAATGGGTGAGTCTTACCATATTATTTTAATGTATTATCTTAATTATGAACACACTGGTTTGTAGTTCAAACAGTTTTACCGTTTTCTGCACGTTGTTATTCTTCTCGTTATTTCCTTATGAACCGGAAGTCTCACCCATTTCCGCGTTGAAGAAAAAGGTGGATAGAAGGGTAAAGCTTAAAAGCCCGGTTTCACAGACGGGGCTTAGCTTAAGCCAGGGCTAGGCCTTAGTTAAATTAAAGGTGACATATCATGAAAATCTGACTTTTCCAGGTTTTAAGTGCTATAATCAGGTCCACGGTGCATCTACCAACCAAGGAAACGTGAAAAAGATTAACCCAGTAACTTTGTTTTGGTAAGCCTTTTTCTGCAAGCCTCTGAAAAAATGAGCGCGTCTGATTTCGCTCCCCTAGTGACGTTGCAAAGGGATCTCATTATAATATTACCGCAGCATAATATGTCTCCTTTAAGATATTTACACAGCTTTTATTAAAAAGTCTTGGAGGAAAACTTTAAAGGTGTGCATCTTGCATACACAACCACCCTATAACGATGAAGATCCACCCAGTGTTTTTTTTTTTTTAATCTACTAAAATCTTTACCCCTAGTCTGTGAAACCGGGGGAAAGAGTTTAGCCATACACTGACTGACTCGATGATGCTTTAATGTCTTTTCCAGCGGGCAGAAAATGGAGATTTCAACTGGATAATTCCAGGGAAGTTTTTGGCTTTCAGCGGCCCTCATCCAAAGAGCAAAATTGAGAATGGTGCATATGGTTTGGCTTGTTCACCCATTATACCAATGCTTTGACTTTAGTCTGAGATGAGAGCTGGAATTATGTACAGATTTATATACATTTCTCCTTTTTTTTTTTTTTTTCTTCAGGATACCCTCTTCATGCCCCTGAAGCGTATTTCCCCTACTTCAGGAAGCATAACATCACCACCATCATCCGGCTCAACAAGAAAATGTATGAAGCCAAGCGTTTCACAGAAATGGGCTTC